TTTTTATGAAGTTGTTTCCATCCTTGAGCAGGACGGAATCAGCCTCAGGCAGGGGGTCTTTCTGCAGATCTAGATGACTGGATAACAATTTGTCAGTGACCCTGAGGCAGTCGTGGTCAGGGGGCCAGGTTCCAAGGGCAAAAAAGTAGCAGGGTTTAAGGTTTTAACTGGAGCAAAATATAAGGGGGGATTTTCACAGATGAGGGCCTGATATTATGTGACTCTATTATTTGAGAGCTATTAATGTCTTGTTATTTAATAGTTCTAAAAGGCATGGGAAAACTGAATAATTTATTTTTTTCTAATGTTATCTGGTTAGTTTAATTAGCCATTATTGTAGCTGCCAGGGCTTTATAAACAAAGGAACTATCTCTTCACAGCTGGATCTAAACTCTAAGATGAATATATTATTGGCTAATTTTATGGGCCTATTTCTTTAAGGAGCACCCCTAAAGCAGTATGATTTCTTTTAGTCAGGTATAAACTAAAAGGCTGGGTCACATTTAGGATCCCTGATACAGGGGGGCAGCAGAAAGAGAGTTAGTTTTAGCTGTTTAAATGTTGACTCTTGTTTTTTATTTTATAATAATCACTGTCTTTTTGGGGCCTTTAAAGATTTATATATATAGAGAATCTAGACCCTGTAAAAACCTTTTATTTTAAAAATTTTTTTAATGTTTTTTTTAGTATATCTAAAAATTAACAATAATCATAATTTTATGTATGAAACTTTATAATTTTTAATCTAATTAGGTATTAAAAGCATTTTTATAGAACCTCTTAATTTTTTTTATAGAAATCTTATTTTGAAAATTGAGCACTATAAATATAACATAATAGTATATTTAGAATTTAACCCTTTGATGATAATTAATGTAAACATTTTATAGTAACATATTTGGCCATGTTTATTGGGGGTATATCTTTTCAGAAGGCCTTAGTGAATAAAGACCAGAATAAATTTTTTCTGAGTAGCTGTCTTTTTTATTATTAACAGTTTATTTAGATTTGAGTTTATATCTAATTATCTTGACAAAATTTTAACTTATAAAACCAAGTTATAGGAATTAACAAATTATTAGTATCTTTGCTGTCATTTTAATCTAGTATAATTGGACAAATATCTTTCAAACAATTGTACAGACACAAACTTGTAAGACAATTTGTGAAACTATTAATATGTTTAAATGTATTTGACCGATTGAATTATAAGGCAGGTGGCAGCACCACTGAGCTAAATAAATCTCCAGTCCTAACCTCTTTTAGTTAACACCAGTTAAAACTTTGGTAGATCAATTAATAGATCTCATAGAATTAGAATTGAAAGGAATGAAAGCTCTGTTATTATAAAAGTAAACCTTTTGTAATAAACTTGAAATCAATAAGCAAATATATATAATTTTGTTAAATCATTTTTATATATCTTTTTTATATATTTAAGCTTTTTGGTTTTGTATATCTTTTTTTATATCTTTTTAATAAGATAAACATATAAAATCTTTTTATATTAAAAGTATATTTTTTTATCCATAGTTTTTTATTATTTTTTTTTTGTTTTATTTATTATTAACCTTTTATAGCAAACTTTAGTTATTAAAATCTTAAAGTGTTTTTTTTTTTTAAGATTGTTATATCTTAAAATTTGACTGGTTATTTATAGAATAGTATTAACCTTGAGTTTTTATCAACAAAGTATAAAAGACCAAGTTAATCTTATAATCGAAATTTAAAAATTTGCAATGTATAAGAAATGTTTAAAGCACACCAATTAAACTTAATTTTAATTGAAATAAAGATATATATATTAAACAGTTAAAATTTTT